ATTCCTAAAGACATGATATTGTTAGCTAGAACTATATGTACATGTCTACCGCTGGAAATACTGTCACTATTTTATACGTATGGCACTATTCATACATACGTCACTATTCATACTTACGACACTATTCATAAATACCGTTACTATTCATATGTACGGCACTATTCATAAGTATCATACTGTTCATACGTACGTCACTATTCATGAGTACTATTCATACATACTGTGGTACTATTCATAAGTATCGTACTGTTCATACGTACGGCACTATTCATGAGCACTATTACTATTCATGCATACTAGGGGGTACTATTCATACGTATTGTTATTGTTCATACATACGACACTATTCATAAGTACTGACATTATTCATACGTATGGGTACTATTTATACATACTGTTACTATTCATGCATACGATACTATTCATACGTACTGTTACTATTCATGAGTACGGATACTAATCGTAAAGTACTGTTGCTATTAGTAAGTACTGCTACTATTCATAATTAGTTATTATAGCAGATAGGCGGAGTTGGTAACCCTGACCATTTACTGGACAGTTTGGCCTAGTTTTATTTTCTGGAGTTTGTTTGCGCCGTTTGTGATGCGATCGCGGAGTTTGAGCCGCTTGATGTTATACTTACAGTCATGAATATGAAGAAATACGCATTTGAGTATCCCACAGGGATTATGACGAATTGAGATCTATTTACTTATGAGTTAGTACACCGCAAATAAGACTGCGATGATACCTATTTGTCGATCCGCACGGTGATACGATGATACCTATTTGTCGATCCGCACTATGATGCGATGATACATATTTGTCGATCCACACTATGATGCGATGATACCTATTTGTTGATCCGCACTATGATGCGATGATACATATTTATCGATCCGCACTATGATGCGATGATACCTATTTGTCGATCCGCACTATGATGCGATGATACCTATTTGTCGATCCGCGCGATGATGCGATGAGTTGGAAGAAGTTCAGAATGATAATATTATAAACTATTTACATGAGTATTTGGCGGATGCCAAAAGTGTTTCTACTCATTGTTGAGATACTTTGCTATACGAGTACACGAGATACATATGCTGCTATCTATTATGATGCTTTACTTTTCAGTTATATTTTGATTGCTTAGTACAGGGTTAATATTTAGTTATTTACTATCTGAGACATACGGTATATACATGAGGGTTTCCTTGTTTGGATTATTTCGCTCGACGTACTACGTCTCAAGTTGTAAGTTTCTAAATATTAATTCCATTAGATACAGGGAAAATGATCTAGGTAGACTATTCTTAATAGATAGAGCCTCCACTTCATCATCTAGCAGCCCTTCCCCTGGGGGCGGATGGAGGTGAACTTGCTGTAGCGCTCTAATGCTCTTGTTGTTGTTCTTTTACTTTTATTTTATTTCTCATTTCAGGCGGCTCAGAGCATCGGAGAGTCGCAGGGTGACGGAGTTCTTGCATAGTCGATGTCGCGTATTTTTACTAGTATGGACTCCACAGTGATCTTATGTTTCCATTTAGTCATTTGAGTTTGTACTCATATTGTTAAGACAATATGCCTTAGTACGATTTCTAATCGATTCATGTTGAGACATATCATGTTATTTTAGACTCCAGATGTATATCAGTTGTATTCCAGTTTAGTTTATTTGGGACATGATTTCATTTATGAGATATATCTTTCCGTATCATGTCTATAGTATTTATTTCCCTTATTTGCCTGTTTTGTACCTTCATTTATATTGGTTTCCACTAGAGGATATTACTGTGATTGGTGAAACATGTTGTTGCACAGTGGAGGTGCATGACAGGTTTGACATCTCTGGGTTCACCTTGGACTGCAGCCAAGTGTGAAAACAGTGGCGTCACATGAGGAGCAGAGACGTAGGTCGAGGGTGACCGAACTCCTTAATCATATTGTGTGTTTGTGTTTAACTTGGCGTATTATTCTTGTGCTCATTGCTTATCATATTTCTATATCGCCATTGTCTCATAGTTTATATCGCCCTTTGTTTATTTGTTATCATTGCATATATCTCATTGTATATCATTCTTGCAAGAATAAATTGTTAATTACTTTTAAATTGGTATTAATATCAGATTAGATTAGTATATACCCTATTCACACCCCCTCTAAGGTAATTTCATATACTCAACTAAAAGACCGGTCAAAGACCTAGGAATTTTGCTAAAGTTTTTGATGAGCCGTTAGTAAAAACTAGCATGTCCTAGGAATGATCTAACATCCTTGGGAAGAGGAAGGTTAAAAATGAAATCTACCCTAGCTTTGTCAACATCTATACCTTTATTGGAAACTATATGCCTAAGATAATTAAGAGTCAGATATTTCTCCTTATACAGGGATAAGTTTGAGTTGAGGCAAATACATAGAAAATGAGTCACTGAATATTGAAAAATTATCCATGAAATTTCTAAAAACTGCTCAACCATATCGGAAAAGATACTGATCATGTACTATTGAAAAGTAGTAGGTGCATTACATACCCAAAGAGCATCGGTAGGCAAAAATTCGTACATGCATGTGAAAATAGTTTTCTCCTAACCTTCAGGGGCAATCGGAATTTGATTGTATCATGAATAATCATCTAAGAAATAGTAGAACTCGTTTCTTGCTGAACGTTCAAGCATTTGTTCTATGAAAGAGAGAGGGAAGTGATCTGTCAGAGTGGCTAAAAATTGAGTTTCCTATAGTCGATGAAAATTAGCCAATCCAGTTTGAATTTGAGTGGGAATCAGCTGATTAGCATCATTCTTGATCATGATGATCCCAGATTTCCTTGGAACTACCTGAACTGGAATTACCCATGAACTATTTGAAATGAGATATATGATCCAATTATCAAGACATTTCAAAATATCATTCCTAACCGCTTCTTTCATGACTTGGTTCAATCTATGCTGGGTATCTCTAGTAGATTTGACATCATCTATCAAGTCGATTCGGTGTTGAACAATGGTTAGAATAATCCCTTTGATATCAACAATGCTCCCTCCAATGACTTCACCATTTCCTCTCAAAACATCTAAGAGGGCTTTCTTTTGACTAATGTCAAATCAGAATAAATTATGACCGGTAAAGTCTCATTCTCCTTGAGTAGTCATATTCTAAATTTCTAAATTATGACTAGTAAAATAGGACTAGAATAATATAGTCTTACTACTATAGTTCGGTAAAATACATTACTTTAGTATTCTAGGATTATTATTTTCACTCGGTCGTTTATGCATGCATTTTAATTTCATGTTTAGAATCTATCTTGATAATCTATGTTTTTTTTGATTGGAACGACAGGTTATGCTTTTAGTTCTAAAAATAAATAAAAAATAGAGTAATTTCTAGATCTAATAAATTATTTTCTAGATGGAATCTATCCTAATTTTCTAGTTAACCCTCTTGTTCTATCTGTCTTATTTCTTTTTTCTTAATTTTGTTAGATTTCATCTTTTCTTTCATTTCCTATTTCTTTTGACATTTTCATTTTCATTCTAGTTTTTTTATTTTTTCATTTTATTTCCCGTTTTCCCTTGTTTTTATTTTTATCTCTTTTATTTTATTTTTTTCTCTTTTCTTATTTGCATTCTTTTCTCCCTCCCTCTTTCTTTTTTCTTTTTCTTTGGGAGAACATAAATTCAAAGACCATTTTCAAATATTTTTCATAAAAATCTCTTTTTAAAAAATATTCATAAAAAGGAAAAAAAATTCATTTTAAAGCCAAAATCTCCCTCATTATGGTTCAATTTTATTCTATAATTTATTGTGCACTTGCAACACACTCATGCCTTGCACAACAAATAGCTACAGTGGAAGACCCTTTAGATTTAGGGGATAGTAAAGTAAAGTAAAATAAATATATATAATATAATTTTTATATCCAAATTCAATAGGGGGTGTTTGTTTGCATGCAAGTGAAAGATGAAAGTGAGAAAGTTACTTTCATTTAACAATTAATGTGGGGGTGTTTGTTTGCATGCAAGTGAAAGATGAAAGTGAGAAAGTTACTTTCATTTAACAATTAATGTGTTTGTTTTCATGTAAGTGGTTATGAAAGTGAGATGTAAGAAAGTTGCCACATAAGATTTAATGCAATTTTGACTTCCCCTAAAAAAGTGGTGAAGTCACATGAAAGTGACAAAAAGTAACTAATTTAATTAAATATTTTTAATTATATTTTCTAATTAATCTTATTTTGCCACATCATCTTCACATTGCACTTTCGATAATAATTTAATTTTTCAAACAAACACTGTATTTCACTTGCGTGCTGACATTGATATAAAAGACATTTGCAAAAAAAAGTAACTTACATATTTTAAATTCACTTTCAGATTGCCAAACACCCAGTCTTTCTTAATGGTTATATAAAATAAATAATGTTAGAGGCACACCACCCACCACAACCCCAACCACACTCCCCCTCTCATTGCTACAGTAAACCGGGTGCTACATGGGATTTTAAAAAAGGCCCCACATGAGATTTTAAATTTTTTAAAATTCCATGTGGGGCCCGTTTTACTGTAGCAATGAGAGGGGGGAGTGTGGTTGGGGTTGTGGTGGGTGGGGTGGTGCCCCCCTAAACACCAACTCATATAAAATTATTAGATAATTCTAACATTTGAAATAATTTAAAATTGGATTTGGATGAGATTTGTCATTATTATTTGGAGTTGGATTTCGGATTCGCCTCACGAAGCTCTGCCACCCGTACTGCCACTGTTCACTGGGGCGCCACGCTAGCAATCTTTGCAAACAATGACCCATTCCTCCGCACCCATCCCGGAAGCACAGTTAACCCAGGAGAGTGACAAAGATCTAGGAATCTCCGCTTTTTAATTTCACCTACCTTTGCTCCGCCACTTCCCCCCCCACCCCCACCCCCACCCAACTGCTGGAGGAGGAGAATGGCGGTCGGTTGTGGTCACTGCACTACGGCGAACTTCAGTCAGCGCTAGGTTTTCGGGGGCGAGGTTCCCCGCTTTCTCCCGAAGGAGGTGGAGAAGATCAGAGACCCTCCGGCGCGGGAACTCGCCAAAAGGATCCAGAGACTTCCCGTCAACGTAAGAACAAGATCCTCAAATCATCTATCTTTAGAACAATTTTTGTTGTATTTTTCGATAATTTTTGCTTGGTCTGCTAAAAGCTTGAGCCCTAGTCTTTCAGATTCTCGTAAATCTGCTAAATTTCGTTTAGTTTTGACGCTTCTTTCGTTGAGACTCGATTAAAAGCTTACTAATTTTATAATGTAAGTTAAAGAAACAATTTTACTCGAGCGTGCTACAGTAAATTCAATTTTTTTGGCCTTTTAATAGATTTGCTCAGTTTATTTGTCCTGTATTTGATTGAAAATGTGAAATGAAAGCCCAAATATTGTACAAGCGCGTAAATTAGGGGGGTGTCAGTCATAGATGGGTAAGGATATACTCAAGTAAGTGGGACTTATCTTATCTTAGAGATAAGATATTTGACAACTTCTAATTGGATTAGAATTAGATCCTTTCTCCCTTTAAATGAGAACTTACTGTGAAAGGAAAAGTAACAGAAAAAAGGAATATTGCTAAATCGTCCTTCCTCCTCTTAATTTTGTATTTTCGGAGTTAGCCGGGGGTGATTCGTGGGAGCTTTTTGCCATCTCGGTGTGATTGCTTTCTGACCGTTGCTTGAAGAACAAGATGCTTGGCAATCTTCACATAAGATCTGGACAAGTATATCTCTAAACAAGGGATTTAATTTCATTTGTGTCCGTAGTTTACATTGGTATTAGAGCTAGCTTAGGGTTGCTCGCATTTTTTTAGGGTTACATCTAATTATGATTGCATCTTGTATTTATTTGAATTAGATTTGTAGTTTCTTTATGGTGATATTGGCTGTGAAAACGAAAATTAGGGTATTATTATTAAAAAATCCATTTTTAATTACAATTGAATTTTTGGTGTAAAAAAAATCTAATATTTGGCATATCGGATGTCAGATCTACAATAAAAACTCAATCTTTATGATCTATTAGGAAATTTGTTATTAAATCAGGGTTTATTAAATTTTTTGAGATCACCATATATATATTTTTAACTTTTTAAAGAAATATTTAAACCTTTTTTATTTCAATTTTTCTCAAAATATTTTAAAAAACCATAGATCTCGTCGCAGTCGGTGCCAACGACGCTGATGGCGGGACCAAAGGCAAGATGTCCTATCATTGGCCACCGGAGTCACAACACCCAATTGCCACTGGTGTTGGGCACCGATGGCGATTTTTACAAAAACTAACAAAAAACCCTAGATCCAGCGCCGTCGGCGCTAGGGGCGCTGACGACAACGAGATCGGAGGTCGACTGCTCTAGGACAGAGTGCTCGTCGACCGCTATCGCTGGCACTGGGCGTCAGTGGCCGGCTGTTTGCATAAGCAAACAAAGGGCTCAGCCGTGAATTGGTGCCGTCATCGGCTGAATCTCGCAGTTAGCCTATAGGTTTCTAAAACACTAGGGTCAAATATGTAAATAAAGTTTTTATTTTCTAAAAAATTAAGAAATCTATTTTTAAATTAGAAAACTATTTAAAAATAATAAAAACAGCTCAAAAATTTTGGGAAAATTTCTAAAAATATTTTTATTATTTTCCTTTAAAAATTTTGGAAATTTCTAAGGGGGCCCAATAGATTTCATAATAAAGTTATTTTTGGGTTTTTCAGAAAATATTTTTTGAACTTTGAAAATTTAGAAAAATTATTTTTATGCACCATAAATTTAGTAAAATACTAATAGTTTCTTGGAGATTCTGATGGGGAGCTGTTCCAGTGGGAGCACCTAGGGCGTGTACCAATTTTACGAGAAACAAAAAATCCTAATAAAATTGACAAGATAAATAGGTAGTTAAATATTAAAATAATATTGTTTATTTATGTTTGTAATGCCTCATGTTTAAATGCTTACGGATTTAAATAAATAAATAATTTCAAGTGGGAGATTTCGGGTAGAGGTGGTAATGATTTAACGATCCAATCTATTCTATTTCTAAGAAATATAATTCTATGTTCTAAAATTTTATAACAATTTTAAAATTATATTCATAAACATTGTGACTGAGGCCTTAGGCTTTCTTCTCTTTGTTTGGAATTTGATTTTATTATCGATATAAAATGCTTCATGAGATGGAATGTTTTTTGGGAAAAAACATTACTCCTTACATAGGCCAATAATCTTAATGCATCCATAATTAATAGTGTCAATATTTTTCTTGCACAGATGGCTGCTAAGAACGTTATCGTTGATTTCACCAAGGGTGATAAGCTAAATGACGATAACTATTTCGTCTGACGTCGAAAGATCAAGTATCTCCAGAATGAGTAGGAGATCTTGGATTCTACCGAGACAGTGATGGCGAAGCCAGAACAGGGTTCTACTCTGGCTCACAGACGTGCTATAGAAGAGTATAATGCTTGGAAACAAAAGGATCATTCCGCACAGTTTACTATGTTGGCTACAATGAGGAACGATCTAATTAGGGAATTCGAGGACCATCCGAACTCTAAGAGCCTCTGGGATGCTCTTGAAGCGTGATTTAGACATCTCTCCATTGAGGATCGTGCTCTTACAATAAAATTAGACTCATATAAGATGTCTGCTAGGCAGGACATCAAATTCCACATTCGTATGATAGCCTCCATGATTAGGGCTCTTAGAATTGTCGGTGTTGCATTTAGTCAGGAGCAACAGATTCAGGCGGTCATCAGGTTACCTAACTCTTGGAGTGACATGAGAGTACTTTTGACTCACGCCTCAGATGTGAAAACATTCGACGATGTGCGCAATAAAATAGAACTTGAGGCAGAGCGTCGGGGCACACTCAAGACCAAGGACGTGGCTACTTCGGCTATGATAGCTGAAGGCCCAAGTCATAAGGCTAAGAAGCCTAAGCGAAAGGGATTTACCAAGCGGCCTTAAGAAGGAGTTCTGAAGTAGAAGAAGCCAGCGAAGAAGGTGGTTAAGCAAATTGACAAGAGCAAGGTCAAGTGCCTCAACTACAATAAGACCAGCCACTTCGCACGTGAGTGTCCAACATCGATTAAGGTAAGCTTTTATCTTAGTCTAGCATGTGTTGCTAGTTTTGTATACGTTGCTGATTCTACTTTTTTTTGGATGGTAGACTCAGGAGCAACGAATCACATCTACTGGGATAGATCGGGTTTTATAGTGTTTAGGAAGATTTTAGATGGGAGCAGGAAAATTCATATGGGGAACGAGTCATATGCAGAGGTGCTGGGCATCGGCGATAGAAAATATAGATAATATGTTGAGGTGTTTCCCATCCGTTCAGGGTAGGAGTAGATCTTGTAGGACGTTTTATATCGGGTGGCAAATCAACAATCTCCCAAATGTGGATAGATAATATAGATTCTAGTTCATTATTAATAGCTTCTTTCCAGAAAGGAACATCTAGAGAGGAAACAACCTCTATAAGTGAGGATCATTACCTACTAGAAAGGTATAGAAGTCATCACCAAAGTTTGTTTCTTTTCTATCTCTTTTACATTCTTCTTATTTCAATTTCTACATTATCATCAGATTCATGTGCATGATCAGAATATGAAGCATGAGAAGGTTTATCTGCATGAGAGTTCAAAGGAAAAAACATGTTCAAAGAATTTTGCTTTTTTAGTTTCAACAATAGTGTTAGGCTCCGTAACATCATTATTACTTCTAATCACAATAAATATATAAGAAGCACTATGATGAACATAACTAATAAACATGCAATCAAAAGTCTTAGGTCCCAAATTCTTTCTTTTAGGTTCAGGTAGCAAAACTTTAGCTGAACACCCCCATATTTTTAAATAATTCAAGTTAGGTGTATGTCCCTTCAAAAATTCATAATATGCAATTACAGTTTTCTTATATGGTATTCTATTTTGGATATGACAAGCAGAAATGATAGCTTCCCCCCACAGGTTAACAGGTGGTTCTGAACTAATTAACATTGCATTTATCATGTCTTTTAGTGTTCTATTTTTTCTTTGGGCTACACTATTAGTTTCAGCGAATATGGATGGGTAGTTTCATGAATTATTTCATGTTTTTCACAGTATTCATTAAATTATTTGAGTTCATATTCACCACCTCTATCTAATCTTAATCTTTGATTTTTTTTTATTTAGTTGATTTTCAACATCTGTTTTGTATTTTAGAAACATTTCATAAGCCTCATTTCTTGATCTCAACATATAGACTAATGTATATCTAGAGTAGTCATCTATAAAGGTTATATAGAATCTTTTACCGTATTGTTAAATTATTTTTCAAATCACCAAGGTCAGTATGGATTAATTCAAGCAATTCACATTCTCTTTGAACATTTATACATGATTTCTTAGTTGATTTGGATTCTACACATATTTCACATTTATCATGATTAGGTAGTTTAACATTGTGCAACATGCCTATATCTTTCATTTTCTTAATATATGAGAAACTAACATGTCCTAATCTACCATGCCAAAGATCGGAGAAGTCAACCAAGTAAGCAAAAGAGGTAGATGCATTTCCATTCATGATTTCAAGTAATTAAATATAAACAAGCCGTCATGATTTGAAGTAATTAAAATATAAACAGACCCCGACTACCATAGCCTTTTCCCCAAACTGCCCATTTTTAGTCATTACAAATTTATCGGACTCAAAGCAGACCTTAACACTAGCTTTAACAAGAAGAGACACTGAAATGAGGTTCCAATGTATCTCAGGAATAAGAAGCATATCTGTAAGAGAAGAGAGTTTCCCAAAAGTGAGCTTGAGAAGCACCTTTCCCTTACCAACAATAGGTGAGGGCGTTGAATCACCCATGAACACTTGTTCACCATTGTCAACAGAGGAGTAAGAAGTGAAGGCTCCTCCATCAGCACATATATGCACAATCATTTTAGCTTTAGAGACCACTGCAGCAAAAATATTTCCCTCCACTATGTTTGCATCTATTTTGCGGGTGCCTCACTAGTCTTCCGGTACCTACATTGTGCAGAGTAGTGCCCGGACTAGCCACACACGAAACAAATTCCTGCCCGGACTAGCCACACACGAAACAAATTCCTTTCTTCTTGAAAGACAAGTTATGACTACTTTTAGTGTTGTGGAAATTCTTGGGGTTCTATTTTGATTTGTTGTTCTCGTGAAAAGGTTTCTTAGGGTTGGAAGAACCACTTTCAATTAAATTTTCCTTGAAAGCAAGTTCCTTGGCTCTTTCGGTTTTCTCTCTTTCTTTTTTCTCTCTTTCTTTGTATTTTCTCCAATTCGGATGTGACTTACTACATCTTCATGACTCATTTGTTTTCTTGTGTTTTAGTTCTTTCTTTTATCTTTCCAAGACTGGGGTAATTTTTCAATCAAGGCTCCAGCAACAAAAGCTTCAGGGACGGTGATGATTTCATTTTTAAGGTCATCAATTAAAACATGGTATTCATGAATTTGAGATAAGATATCTTTTTCTTCAGATATAACAAAACTAAGAAAGTTTCATATAACAAATTTTTGAGTTTTAGCATCTTGAAGGATATATTTCTTGTTAAGGCTTTCCCAAAATTTAGTTGCAGTTTTATAAGGACAGAAATCATCAAATAGCTCATTACTTAAGGTGCTGAGAATTATGTCCCCAAATTTTATTAGCCTTTTCCTAATTTTGGAGGTCCTTTTTTCGGTTTACGATTAGTTATAGCAAATGCATAGACAGTTACATCAAGTATAGAGAAAACGCTTTCTTACCATCTTTTAAAGTGAGTTCTATTAAAAAGGTTCGATTTTTGAAATGTCAACCAGAGACTTAATAGCAGCAGCAACAACTATATCAGTATCCATGATTAATCTACTCTTAAGATTGTTGAAAAATTAACTAGGATTACTACTATGAAACTGAAAATAAACTTTCAAAATGAAAAGGAACTTCTTATGGTGTGATCGAGGCATGCGAATGTACTATCCTTAAGAGTAGATTGCGTCCCTCTGAGAATATGTCTCGGTGCAGCAGGATAGCAATGGCTTACCCTCCAGGATTCAACAATCGATAGCAACTGAAAGTGTGCACTCACAAATGTAGACAACCTTGAACTTTGATATATTTCTTCCCTAATAGCTGAAGAGAATGAGAGGTTTTAGAGAGAATAGTAGAGAAGAAGAGGGATTGTTTATCTCTGATTGTTATGTTTGGAGGAGGAAGTTGCTGGTTTTATAGAGCAAAGGAGATCTGTAGGAATCTTTTACAACAAAAAGTTCATTGGGAAGACAATAGACAGCGATATTTTATTGGGCAGAGTAAGACTCAATTCATAGGGCAGAGAGAAGCAATAATCATAGTTTTCTTGAGCTGTGGGAAGATATTCTCGTGCAGAGTGAAGATCTAGAAAGAGAATTGGTCAAAGATCCAAAATAAAAAGTGCAAAGCTGAGCTCGGGTTATACCCGGATTTGCACCCTCCTGCAGGCGTGATGATGGCACTCATGTGCATTAAGGTTTTATTGATCATATTGCCCAATTCTAGTTCCGGGCTCTATTAGGCTTGTGTGCGCGCGAGAGCCGCTCTACTCGTAGGCCCATTTGACACACAAAGAAAGTGCCCGCACATTTAAACGCTCTAAACTTTTTCTCAAATTCCTCGGGCAAATGTGGAGAATGTTGTTAGACTTTGAGAGATCTTAATTATTCGGAATTTTCTTTGAACTTGTTTGCGAATAATAATTTATTTTCTTTCTACACCTAATATTTTGGTTTCCTCAGGTAAGCTTCTTGAAAAGCTCTATTCCAAGTAGTTGTGTGAAGCCACTGCAACGTAAGGAAACAGAACCAGTTGTTCTCCTTCATGGTTTTGACAGGTATTACAGCTCTGATGGTTCTTCATTCATTTATACATTATTCATTTCCTAAACGAAAGAGTTTGATTAAATGCATCACACATTTAAATCAACACATAGACTCCTCTTTCCTCGAGAATAGTTGTATGAATTTTTTTCGCTATTCTCTGAGACATACTTGCTAGCAATAAATATCATTTGTGATGATTGATGGTGTAAGAAAATTGAAAAAGAAAACTAGCGAACAGAGATTTTTGTGGTTCAATGAGGTTCACCTATATTCATGGTGAGAAACTTGTGTTTTATTTTTCGTGGGATTTCCCAAAGTCCAGTATAGGTTATAAATAAGGGGTTTTTGTCTTTGAACCCAAAATTTGAACTCCATTTATTTTAAAACACATTCACTTCTAATTATACTCATACACCCAAAAAATATTCTCTTTTTATGTGGAAACCCAAAACATTAAATGCATCTTATTTGCATACTGCATTTATAAAAGAAAATTTAAAAACACCCAAGTCGCCCTTCCCTCTCTCCTTCTGTAAAATCTTCAATTCTTTCATCTCTTTTCCTCTCTTCTCCCTCCATTGAGACTCATTACTTTCTCAAGCTCCACCACCCTCCTAAGTCATCCTTCTCCTCAAACAAACCCCAAATCCTTAGACCCCTCATCAATAGTCACTGGAATATACTGTCAAGAGCTAAAAAAAACTTCCCATCTCTTTCATCCTCTTTTCCCTCCTCTCCCCTTCCATCCTTCCTCTCTCCCCCTCCTAATGTCCTCGTCTTCATCGTCGCCAACCTCGAATCCTTATATGACCACTTATCTTCATAATATACTTTGAAATGGGTGAAACTGAACTTGCTTAGAGGTTGTTTGATAAAATGCTTGACAGCTGTAAATAGAGATGTTTTTTCTTGGAATTCAATGGTTTTGTGTTGTAATGATTTTGCATTTGGGACATATTGGTTTTGCATTGAGGATATTAGATGAAATGCCACACAAGAATTTGATTTTGTTGGGAGATGTGGTTTCTATTTTTACCAACCACTTTCTTTAGTAATGTAGCAGGCGGGCCCCATCCTTTCCTCTCGAAAAAGAATTTGATTCTGTATAATTCGAAGGTTAATAGATTAATGAAGTAGAGGATATTGGTGACCATCAGATTCAACTTAATTTCTAAGTATAACATGTTAAGTTTTAAGTATTATTAACATCAAAATCTGAGTACAAAAGTAACTTCTTAATTGCTAAGTTTTGAAATTCGAATTATTACTAATTACTGAAATTACTAATTAATGAAGTTGAAAATAGTATAAATGCTAGTTTTATTATTAATGACCTTTGATTGTAAAAAAAATTATAGCGTAAATACTAGTTTGATATAATTCTGATGAAGTATAGTAACTAAAGTTGTAATTATAACAACTAAAGTTATAAGTATAGCAACTTAAAGTTGTAAGTGTAGCAACTAAAAGTTGTTACACTTACAGGTTTTGATGCTATACTTATAGGTTATGTTTCTATACTTACATGCGTTCTTGCTATAGTAATAGGTTTTCTTGCTATACTTACAAAATATATTGTTATACTTATGGGTGTTGTTGGCATGCTTACTGATTATAGTGCTATGCCTATAGATTTTGTTGTTATACTTAATAGAGTTTGATTTTATACTTTCATGTTCTGTTGCTATTAGGGTTGTGCAAACGGTCGGTTCTGTTTCTGGTCAAATTTTGCCAAATCAAACCGAATTGCCTATGATTCAAAACTGAACCAAACTGACCCAAATCGGTTCAGGTTGGTTTAGTTCAATTTGCTCAGTTCTGACTTGGGCGTGATACACGTAAATGTTAAACTCCAAATTAAAGATAAACTAACCAGTTAACCAACCATGAAGTTTGGTTTTTGAGCATAGAGGAACTGTTCTTGATATAAAGTTTGGCATGGAAATGATCAAATGCAGTATATTCTATGTTAAATTTATTGCTAAATTTATATATACAAGCCCAACTATCAGTTTGGCATAGAGCTATAAACAAGTCAAAATAAAGGTTGTATACAACCTTTCAATGCTAAATTTATTGCTAAATCTAATTTATATGAGGCATGGAAATGATCAAATACAGTAGACATTTAGAAATCCATTAACGAAAGACCAAAAAACTAAAAAGTTTGGAAAGATCCAAAATTAACAAATCATCTAGAGTATTATTTGATGATGCATAGAATCAACATTAGCTAGGGTTTTAACTTCATACCTTCATATGGATCTAAGGGGTTGATTCAACCATGATAAAGGAAACAAATAGACTAAGAGAGGTATGGACAACAAAATGAAATGTTGTGATTTGGTTATTCCGGGCCGTCGAGACTGCATGAGAACTGAGAAGACGGAGAGAGAAACGAAATGTCGAGGTTGAAATTATGTAGCCTATGTGATCATATACATGTTGGGGTTAAGCGAGTACAGGTTGTAATTCTAAAGGCTATCTGTATAGGAAATATTAACAATAACTATAATAGGGTTTGGTCAATTTGGGTGATGCGGTTAGAAAAATCTTCTTCTCAACCTGAACTAAGTTCTTATCAAAACCAAACTGAACTACTAAATTTCAGCTGGTTCGGTTGGTTTGTTTGGTATGAACTACACTGTGCTCACCCTTGGTTGCTATATTTGATTTATTATATGATAAGCATAACAACAAACAACTCAAACATATAAATTATATATCAGGTAGCTACTACACATTTATTCAATAAGGAGTACTACTTCAATATCTCATTAACACCATTCTCTTTAAACATTTCAGCTTAAATTCCACTATCCTACAATTGGAAGTTGTCACTCATCCGATTTTTGCTTTTAGTATCTCACTGCGCTTATTTTTCCCTTCTCTTTCAATATCTAACCTGAAGTTAATATGAAGTCGGGTATTTGAGTCTATCATAATATTCTTTCACGATTGTCATTGCACAACCACCGCTGATCCACTGTTGCTTCCTATCGAGCTTGTTGCTGCCGTAACTCGATTTCTCTTCATCATTAAAATCCTGTTTGGAATTACAAGGATATTACACAAATATTGTATCGGGGACTGTCATTGTTTGATCCCGGCATTGCTAATAAGTTTGAATCCGCAACCTATAGCCTCTCTTCTTCCGTCAGCCATCAACATAGCTAGCAAAAAAATTAAAAGAATACAACCCATCAACACCTCCCTCAAAAAAAAAAAAAAAATCTTAACATGTTCCAATGTCTCTTACCAATTTCAACAAACAACTAATAGGCATTATTTCTTCAGTTGAATAAAGGGTTCCTTTCACAAATATTTCGTGAAACCGTTGACTAGGGGATGAAGGTGTATGAATCGTCAAACTCGTTCAGCTCACCGGAGGGGGATGAGGTTTTGTTGGCTTTGTTGGTAGGAAGGTTCGAGGTTTGCACATCACCAATAAACAAACTAGGGCAGAGAGAAAGGGAAGTGGAGAAGATGAAAGAAGTAGAGAATGATAGAGCTCTTTTTAGCATTATTGTGGAGATAGAAACGGGATATAAAAGATGTGATGTTATTGGAGAGAGAGAGAGAGAGAGGAGGTAGGAAGAAGAGAGAGGAGGTAGATGAGAGTGATAGGAGAAGGTAGGAGAAGTGGGGGTAGGGGAGGCGGCGGCAGTGGAGGGTTAGCGGTAGGGAGGAGGGAGGATGATGTCACTAGAGGGAAGGGAATGGTTTATTTTGTTGTAGAGAAGACAAACAACATTTTTTGGTATTTTTATATATTTAATTTAAGGGATACAATATACGTCCATATTTGTATTTTGTAATTTTGGGTTTAAATATAACTACAGATTGTATTTTGGGTTTAGGGATACAAATAGTAGTATATGGTTTTAAAGATAAATGAGGGTAAAAGTTTGGGCCCTATAAATAATTATATAGAGGAGAACTTTAAAGTCACCAAAAAAGGCAAGATATCTATATGATCAATTTATCACATGGAGATCTGTAGAAAAAAGAAAAAAAATGATATTCTATTACCTAATTACAATCATCCTACTATATCAATAGATATCTCAAAAATATTGCATTGACCTTGTAGATTTGAAATATTCATCATATAATCTCCAAGATCTTGAGAATTTTCAGCATTTCCCCTTAAATTGGAGCTATATTACCCGGATACGACAATTCCGGTGCCGTACATGTGTCCCAACATGTTTTGAGTATGGCTGCGTATCCAAGACTCAGTGTCGTACATGTATCCCAACATGTTTTGAGTATGGCTGCGTACCCAAAAGTCTTGGACATGGATGGGTTCACTTTATTTTTTGGCTAAATGGCACTTAAATATCTTATAATTTCACACTATTCGCACTTATATACCCTCAGTTGTATTTCGTAGCATTTGTATACCGTGAGTTGGTCAAAATTAGCATATTGATACCCTATGTTTTGCAAACATAACAATTTTTATTCAAAAGTTCACTTATAATATTTATATGCTATTCTTATAGTTTTTTCTCTATTAATCTTGTTGAATTCATTGTTAAATCTTTTAAAATACTATTTTTGAAATAGAATTATGATGCATCTAAAATTAGAATTTGAGTTGGTTTAATTATAATTTAATAAATATTGATGGTTAGAAAGCTCCAAAATTAACATATGAATGTTATATGGGAACTTTTGAATTAACAATTTTCACGTTTGCAAAATATAAGGTATTAAAGTGCCAATTTTGACCAACTAAGGGTATATAAATGCTACAAAGTATAATTGAGGGTATATAAGGGCTAAAGGAGTGAAACTATAAGATATTTAAGTGCTATTTAGCCTTATTTTTTTGAGAAAGGGATTGGTTCATTTGTTGGGTTCAGTTGTTGCTTCGGTTATTGGAAGATGAGAAGAAGGCCTAATGCCCCAATCAAAGTGCTCAAAGATAAAAGTTTGTTAAAATGGAAAATTAGATTTCTTAGATATAGACTAGATTGGATAGTTAAATCATAGTGTTGTCTCTACTTGACATCTCCAACTTGAAATTATTTATTTATATATTCCAATATGCATCTGAACATGCGTCATAACAGCCATAAACAATTCCTCTTTTATATTAAACTATCTATTTAATATTGTCAATTTTATTAGGAATTTTCATTTCTCCTAGAAGTGGTACATGTCCCAAGTGCTCTATCTAGAACTACCCAACAAAATCTGTAAGATTTTATTATGATTGTATAAAAAACTTTTTGGTGTATAAAATAATTTTTGTCAGCTTCTAAAGTTCAAAAATTATTATTCTAAAATCCTAAAAACTCATTACTATGAAATATAATGGATCCCACATTAGAAATTTCCTAAATTTACAAAAATGAATAAGAAAAATATTTTCTGGAAACTTTTCTTAGTTTTCTAGATATTAAAAATTTTAGTGTTCCTGATTTGAAATACATTTATCCAAAATTTACGCAAGATGACGCTGCCACCTTCTCTTTCAATCTGCCCCCTAAGGTTTAAAACCCTAGGGGCAGTTTTGTGAACAAGTCTTCAAATCTATTATTCTCTACATGGTTATACACACACACACACTCCATTGCCAAATGTTAGTAATTCTGGAATTCTTATATTAAACACTTTATTTTCTGTTCAATCACATACAGTCCATGAGAAATCTTTTCTTCATCAATCTTGTTCATTGTAGTTCTATCCTAATTTCAGAAGGACTAAAAGTGGCATCACGGTTTAATGAGTAAGTACTAACAAATAATAATTTGTAGCTAAAGAAGGCATAAATAAAACTTTTGCGTTATAGAATTGGAAAAAATTGGTTTCATCCATTCCTTGTATAGGAGCCGAGGATCCACTAGCAACTGAAGTTGAACATCAACTAATAGATTCTTTGAAGTTAGATATGCATGAAGGGTTTCTGTCATATGTCATATGATTGGTGTTCAAATAATAATTTGTAGGTAAAGAAGGCATAAATAAAACTTCTGCATTATAGAATTGGAAAAAATTGGTTTCATCCATTCCTTGATGGGAGCCAAGGATCCACTAGCAACTGAAGTTGAACATCAACTAATAGATTCTTTGAAGTTAGATATGCATGAAGGGTTTCTGTCATATGATTGGTGTTCTTTTATGTCTATGATCTAACTAGAATGATAGCTGGAATTACTTAAAAAACCTTATGATTTACCATGAGAGCTAAAGTTTGGTGTGAAATAATGTGTAGCGAAATTGAAAGTGGATTGTCTTCTAGCTTACAAGAAAGAGAGTATTCAATGGTGAATGCCTTTATTTAAAGTAGCCTCTAAGAAAGGGAAACAATTCCAAACTTGTAAGTAGCAAGCAAAAGTTGTACTCTTAAAAGTGGATTGTTATTTTTTCTGTCCAACTGTTGCAGAGCTTGTGTCAGTCTTCCAATTGAGACTTGAGATTTAGTACTAGCAGTTTGAGCAATAGATTTATTATAATTTTCCCCAGTGGGCTTGAGGTAGGGTATAAATAAAAAATTCACCCTTGATGTGCCCTATGGCATCACAAGGGTTGCATCTTGGTGTAAAACAAACTACTCCTCTTCACCCACCACGAATACTACTAAAACTGTGAAATATATTGCCTTCAACATAAGAGACATTCTCTTGATCAACCTTATCTTTATTTGCAACTAAAGGGTCCTCATTGTTATCACCTATAGAGAAAATCTAACCTTTCTTAAATAGAGATTAGGAAGATATTACACAATAGCTCAACAATATCTTATGATATCTACTAAATCTACTAATACCAAATTATCGAATATCTAATACTTTCCCTCAAGCTGGAGCATATATACTATTTATGTCTAGCTTGTTACAAATAGGAAGAAAACATCTAGTAGAAGCTCTAAGCGGATAAGTAAATAGAAATCCTAGGCGAATAAGCCAGTAGAAACATCCTAAGTGACAGAGTACACCAGTAGGAATATACTAGGCTAGTAGGTCAGTAGAAACCCTAGGCGGGTAAGCTAGTAGAAACAACGTCGAAAGAAAACCACTGTCCTTGCTTAAAACTACCAAAGATGCTGAAGAGTGAATAATGACCTTGATTACTGTTCATCACATGAATAGTAGACACAATTTTTTATTTAGGTTATTTCCTGGAGGGTGTTTGTTAAGATCTAGAAAACAATGATACCAAGGTTGTTGTTGATGTTGAAGCCATCGATGCCATCGAGGGGAGGATGAAGGCCATGCAAAACCCCTTGACGGCCTTGAGATCCCAAAAAATGGGAGAAGTTTTGTAGGATCAAGTAGGTTTTGATAACATGTAGATAAAATAGTAAAGACAAAATTATTATTCATCTTAAATAGAAATTAGGAGGATGCTACCAAATAGGTATGAGATAAAATCATATCTAATTATATCTTATAGTATCTCAGCAATATCTTATAATATCTACTAGATATGCTAATACCAGTTTAGCACTAATATCTAATATCACCTTTATTTTTTAATCCTATAGGTTATATCTTTAACCCTTGTAGAAGCTTCCTCACCTTGAATAGAAAGAATAACATCAAGTCTAGGCCTCTCATGAAAATATCAAGCATTTTCATATTAAAAATCAAAAGTGGAAAGAAATTGATATATCTTATCATTAACATTACATTTTTGAATTTCGTTCAAATTTGTTGTGGGAAGTAGTAAACACCCAATTCTCCCATCTAGCTTTAAGAAAGGCATGATATTTCAGTCAGGTTGCTTATTTTCTTTGGCGTGAGATGCATTCGTTTTCAACTAAAAGATACAAGCACGATTAGTTTCTTGACCATACATTTCCTTAATAGCATTCAATAAATTGTTAACAATAACGGAAAGGATAAAAATTTGTGTTATTTTAGGATTAATGGAATCTAAAATCCAGTACATGACTAATTTACATTAGCTTTCCATTTATCATAAGCAGGATCATCAAAACATTTAACTTTATTCTTGCCATTCGTATCATCGAGTTTGGACTTTCCACAAGAGAGGAAGTTATAGATCTGGACCACGGTAGATAATTAAGTCCTTCCAACAATATAATTCATACATAGTAGCTTCAGAATTACCTCTATCCTCCAAAGCTGTTAAGAACAAAGGAAGGGCTGACCTGGTTACCAATAGAAATGTAGAAATAAGTACTCGATCCTTTGAACTACATCAGCTTTAACTTGATGGACGTGGGTCTAAGCTTCTGATACATTGTAAGAAAATTTAAAAGAGAAAATGTATGACATAGATTTACATGGTTCTTCCAGGTTCTACTACATCTTTGGTGGTGAAAATAATTTCTTTGTTTTCTTCATATCTCACTTGGACCACCACAAGATACAAATAATTGCATGGATGGGAAATTCAAACTCAATAAAAAGCCAAGATATCCCATACGGTTCAATTTATCACAGGGAGATTTCTTTTTAGAAAAGGAAAAAAAGGAAAATGCCACTACCTAATTACAATATCATACTGTATAATAGAGATCTCAAAATATTGCATTCACCTAGGAGATGTGAAATATTCATGATGTAATCTTGGAGATCATGAGAATCTTCAACAGATGCTACTGCCATTCCATCTCTGTAATAAGTGGGTCTCCTTCCATGTACGTTATCCTGGAAATCTGATAGCTAAGTTTTGCTTTGGCTTGATGATTGTATAAGATATAGTCCTAATGTACTGGATGAGGCATCATTTTCTCTGTTCATCCCCCTAGTCTATACAATCTAAAAACGAAAGTTTGAAGCATCCATGTAATATATCAGGCTTTAAACATGCTGATCTAATCCAACTAGACCTGGCCACGACCCTGGGCCAGGGATTTTCTGGGAGGGGTTTGGCCCTTTGTTTCCGAGCTTGGGAGCTGCCCAAACCCGACTGCGAGCCTGACCGGACAGGCTCCTGGCAGGGCTCAAGCCCACCCAGGAGATCCTTTATGACTTAGTTTTGTATGTTCCCTAGGCTAATTTATTTAAAAAGTTAACAAAAGAGAAAAGATAAATTTAAAAACTTAATTTAAGACATGGATTGGGCCCAAATTTGGGCCAAGTTCCTTTTTTTAAATGGGTCAGGCCCATTTTATTTGAGCTAGGAATTAACTCAGGACCATGTTGTGTCCGGGTAAGGGTCGGGCGTGGATCAGGGTTTTGGGCCCTCTGCCCAGCCCGACCCGTGAATAATCCGAGTTTGGGTTAAAACCTGGCCCATACGGGCCGGGCTTTTAGGTCGGATTGGCCTGGTGGCTGGGTCTAAATCCAACCAAAATTAAAAGACACCGTCGATGTTGGCGAATAACATTAAATAACAACTAAATCTGGTGAAACCAACTAATAAATGAATATTGGAAATACTGCAAGTTAATATTGTAGTTTCATGTTTGAGAAAATTAAAAAGTTCAATTAATAAGAAGCTTATGATTAAATACTCATTCCATGTATTACTAATTTCAACCTGAAACTGCTGCCAAAATAACCACCACTCTCAATACAGTGACTAATAAGGGTTACCAGTGATCGCATCTATCATCATGATTTCCAACCTTGATAATAACTTTCCATTGGATGCTATCCACAGTTCATGCTTAGAATGGAGATACACATATCCATTGCTTGAGGATGCTGGTCTAGAGACATGGGCACTGGATATTCTTGGATGGGGTTTCTCTGATTTAGGTATGGATTTATTTGTTTTATTCAATGGTAATGCTGGTTAACACTGATAAAAGTACCCAGAAAAAATGGTTAAAGTACAAGCATGTGAGTGAATTCCACCTTACCTTTTGAAACTTTTATTCATTTTCTGTGTGTTCACAATTGCTAATCAAATTTCTCAGAAACTCTACCACCATGTAATGTTGCTGCCAAGCGTGAACATCTTTATCAGGTACATTTTGCTGCTTGTCTAATGTTGTTTGTATGGTGCGTTTCCAAACTTTATTTTTCAATTATTATTTCGGAATGCTTATTATTTCAGAAAGCATAAAGTTATGAAAGGAACTTGTGTCACTAGCAAATATAATTTCTTCCTGAACGTTTTATGATAACTTCATTATGAATACTGCTTATGATGACTTGGTTGCCTTCCGAGCTGCAACATTTCTTCTGGCAATTTTGCTATTGCTCCATTTTTTGTTCATTGCCTCACTTTACATTCATTCATGCAAATACTCTCACTCTAATTAGTTTTGGGTTACCTTATCATGCAAATGTAGCTTCATTTGGCTCTTTAAGATTTTTAATATGATTCTCTGTCATAAAATATGTCTTACATTAGGCAAGCCAAAAGTTCCCTCCGCCAAGAATTTGGCAGCTACTGACCAAGCTTTACCATCAATTGGTGACAATTTCTACGAACTTTTTTTTTTTTAAAAAAATGACCATTTCTACAAGCTTGGTCATTCTTTTCCGGATCTTTCTCAGCTTCATTGCCAACCATTTTAGTAGCACTATTGATGCGTAATGGAGGTGATCGGATCTGATTGTAGATCTGGATCTTGAGGGAAAAAAGAAAAAAAAAGAAAAAAAAACAGAAAAATTTGGGCTTAGGCCGGTGTCCCACTCAGCACCTAACTTGATTTGGCTTCACACTTCCTAGTTTTACGCCTACAGAATCACTCCAAAATCACAGAATCACTCCAAAATCATCTCTCAAAACTCAAATTTTATTCATCAATTTTCCATTCTCCAAAATAAGAATTACAACCTCTTTTATAGGGGAAAAAAAGAAAAAGAAAATCCTAAGAAGTTAGATAACAAGAAATAAAATCGAAACTGATTGATAACATCAAATAAAATTGCAACTAATCCTAACTAATCAAAATACTAACCGAAATAAAAATCCCAAGAAAAACTAAATTCGAACCAAATTTCGTAAGGGTTAATTGCAAACTTACCCGCTTAGTGTCACCCAATTGCAAACAAAACCCTTGTAGTTCTATTTGTTGCGAATAGACACCCGGTAGTTCTAGTTATTGTGACTAAACCCCCTGAGTGATTTTTTTACACTTAAAATCATTGAAAATGTTTGAGGAGATGGATAGACTCATTATAGTCCTATTGATGAGCATAGACACCTAATTACTAATTTTTTTTACATTTAAAAGGGTCGAAAAAATCACTAAGGGTGTGTATTCACACTTGGGCCAATACTACGGGGGGCCTATTAGCAACAAGTAGAACGAACGGGAATCTATTCGCAACCTACAGAACTAAAGGGAATCTCTTTGCAATTGAGTGATACTAAAGGGGGTCTGTTCGCAATGATTCGGACTTTGAATTGTTGCATTGCTAATGTAGAAGGTTTAAAGATGGTTCTATTCGACTCTGATGCCAATTGATGAGGAACAGAGAACGATCGATGAGGATTTGCTGTTGGATAATTTAATTTCAATAAGTAAATTGCACTAAACCCCCGTGAAACTTTCAAAATCACTCTAAAACCCCAATAGCTTTTGCAGAAAACCCCCATAAACTTTTAGGTGAGTTACACTATACCCCCATGAACTTTCCAAATGCCTTTTTTAGTTGTTTTGGTTCTAATTTATGGGTGTTATCTACAAAAATAAGTTCATGGGGGGTTTTCTGCAGTTCCAAAAAGTTGTTGGAGGTTTACTGTGGACTCGAAAGTTCACGGGGGTTTATTGCAAAACACTGAAAGTTCATGGGGGTTTAGTGTAATTTACCCTTAATTTTATATGTTGCTCACAAAAACAGATTCAACGTGAATATTTAGCTGATGTCTTGCAGTTTTTCCACAGTCAAAGCAGGAAAAGAAAAAGGGTCCTGGGGGCTGTTCTAGGGTTCAGCTGAAGGTGTGGGGATGTTGGAGGTAGCAAAAGCATGTGCTTGGATGTAAAGAGAGTAGGAAATGGATTCTGGTGGGTTTGGTTGAATGGCTGTATAAAATTTGGAGGGATCTGGCTGCTGCTTGATTGCAGGGAAGGAGGAAGAGGAGAAAAGGGCTGTTGCTGTGAACAAAAGCTTGATTTGTATTGCTGGAAACAGAGGAGGGGGTTGTGTCGAAGATGATTTGGATGTAGGAAAATAAAAGATACAAGATAATTTGAGGGCTTCTAGGCTTCACGCTGACGACACTTCACATGCCACAATCAGAAAACAGCTCACATGCTCAAAAAGGATTTCAAAGCTCATAAAACCATTCATGGTGGTCTATCTCTAAAATAAAGAATGCATGTTATTTATAAAGAAACCTAGCAATAGAAATTAAATCTTAATCCTAACCATAAATAACAAATAATGAAACTAACAAATCAACTAATGAAAAAAAAAATCGACTAACTAGCTAAATATCTAGCCAAATATCCAACAACATTATTCTAATCCTAAGTTTCCTAATTGTAACCATAGTAATTCAGATCCTATAAGTTGCCTTGCATAAAATCTTTCCTTGTTAGAGAAAACTCAACCTCAAGTTTTAATAGGAGTACAATCACTCCTTTGGTTGATGGGAAGAATTCTACCACGGGCTGTAGTAAGGTAATGGATCTGGAATGACAATCTATATCATCGAGTTTTTAGATTTTTGAGGTATCTGGGATTGCACTTCAATGTTAGAATATTGGTTTGGTTTGAGCTAGAGCTTTGGATCTACCTTCTGCTTATTTTTAATTCGGGCTCCTGTTCAGGCTCCACCTCTGGATTTATCTTGGGGTATTCTTCTAGCTCCAGTTTATGCTCACACAATCACAATGGAATATCTTCTGACATGCATTTTCTTCTGGCTTACAAATCTGGCTCAAGCTTTGGTTCAGGTTCAGTCTCCAATTTTGCCTTTGGTTCTAGCTCTTTCTTTCGATTGAACTTAGGTTCAGACTGCAAAGTCCTCATCTGCCCTGAGTCGGGACACTGTTGTTGACTTTGCTTTAGGCTCTGAGGATAAACAAAAATACTTTTAGTTAGAGTTAACAAGAGTATCTCCTTTCCAGAAGATATTTTAGATTCCCGCGAATGGGTAGTTGAACGGTAACTTGAGTAATTTCTAGACCACTATTCTTGAGCTTCTCTCTTGAGCCTACACTGGCATATAAATACTTTTCTATTTCTGACATTTCATAAATAAAAATCATACCCTCTATATCTTGAATCTGGACTTCAAAATCATATGGTTTATATCCATCATATCCATAAAAATAAGATAAGGTACCAATGTCTGATGGATTGAAAACATAACTAATGGTATTTGACCCATGATAAGTATGGGTCCTTCGACTTTGATATCAAATTATGCCAAGCGATGGTGATCGGCTTTGATCGTAGATCAAGATCTGAAAACTAAAGAAAAAAAGAGTAAAACAAAATAAATAAATTGGGAGTTAGGCCAATTTCACATGCATCACCTAACCAGGTTTGGGTTCACGTCTATGTAATCACCCCAAAATCATCTCTCCAAACTCAAATTTTATTCATCAATTTTCTATCCTTCGATTTGAAAATTACAAACTCTTTTATGGGGAAAAAAACTAAGATAACAAAATACTAAGAAGGTAGCAATAAATAAAATCAAAACTGTTAGATAACATCAAATAAAATTGCAACTAATCCTAGCTAATAAAAATACTAACTGAAATGAAAATCCCAAGAAAAACTAAATCCTAACCAAATTTCCTAATCCCAACTCCAAAATATATCCTTATTGTGATGGCTGCGGGTTAATTATTATATGCTTAATTAAAAAACTTGAATTTTGTCCAGAGAAGCTGAAACTTTTTAGTTTTTTTGCTGCTTGTATCATTTTGATGCGTTAGCTCACTATATATCATCTTCTTCTCTTGCTCAATAAACATTTTATTACTTGTACTGTAGCTTTGGAGGTCTTATATCGAAAGGCCCATGGTATTGGTTGGACCGAGCCTTGGTGCTGCAGTTGCAATTGATTTTGCAGCTAATCATCCAGAAGCGGTATTTTTCTATACCTTCCATGCAGTTAATTTGCTTGCAGGTGGTCAGTTAAATTATTTTATTTAAAGAGCGTATCCATGTTTCTCTTGAGATTTTTATGTTAAGGTTCAATGTTAGTTCATTTTCTGTATTCAAAATTATTTTATTAATCCTAATCTAAAATTCTTTTGTTCTATCTTACTTTAACTATCCATTAATTTTATTTCCTCTTTATTAGGTGGCAAAATTGATTTTGATTGATGCAAGTGTATATGCAGAGGGGACAGGAAATCTGAAAAAATTACCTAAACCAATAGCTTATGCTGGAGTAAGATGTTTTACGCTTCCCTCAAATCAGATAAAGTTCTTTTGGATCTGATGCACATGTTTATACTTATGCAAGGCCTGGCATTACTTAGTTCCTGATGATCTGAAATCAAGTTTCACATCACTTTGGAATACAAGTTGTACCGACACACAACATTACAAAGCTAAAATCCAATTGACCATTTTCTCCCATGTGTTAGGTAGCTTTTTTGAAGAGTTTGCCGTTGCGGATGTTTGCAAATTCCTTGGTCTTCAGCAATATTTCGTTTTTCACCTCCCTTGATTGGACAAATGTAAGTATCTTCTGTTAGTTTTTATGGTGTGGAACACAGTTGGAAGTAGTACACTTTCTGCTGCTTTGGTTCCATGCAGATCTTATAATTGTGGTGCATTTACTTCTATTATTCGGTGTTTAGTTGTGTGCTTGATGCCAAGAAGTTTCTCTGTACATTTATAAACTGTAGTGGCTCATTCTGGGATTCATTTGAAATCCTAGAGGTTTGTGCAAACTGATCACGTGTCAGTCAATGGGGGATGATATGTTCGGATGAATAAATATGGTACGATAAATAAGGACAAGAATAAGATGCCACTCTATTCAATAAAATAAAATCTGCCAATTATTTCTCTCAAGTTCAAAGAGTTCAGGTCGTCCCTCTGTGAGTTGTATGAATGAATGCTGCTGCATTATGCTTAAACATAATTTCAAATGATACTGGCAAAAGAAATTAATGTAGAAGCTTTTTTAAGATTTCTGAGAAATAAACAATACCAATATGTTTTGTCACCTTTCTAGCTCCATATTTCAATCAAACCAGTTTTCTATGGAGAAAAACAATTCCATTTTGCTGAAGGTTTAGTATAGTTTGGAAGATGCAGATAGCACCAGCTGGAGAGTATCATAGCAGTACAGTTAGATGCAGATAGCGCCAATCTAAAAGTTGTTGTGGCAACCATTGTAGTACAGCTACTCACCTTAATACTGGCTGCAAAAAACCACAAACTCTTATACAACCATGGATGCTTAGTAACAGATTCAGAAACAAAGAAGAATTGTGAATACGATCTATTTTCCTCTAGACTCAGTCCCAACCTTACAAATGCACTAAATTGATGTTTTTTTTCTGATCGACACTGCTCCTGGTTCCTAATTCCCCCCCTCTAATGTTATGTATATTTTTATATTATTTATTCATAAAGAGGGCTCCTAACCAACAGCTACTCTGTAAAAATTTCTTCTCATCTCAGTGTAACCCATACAAATAACTTATCAGTTTGTGCAATGTAGATACCAGTAATGCTAGTGTGTAAGCAGTATTACACATCAAATTAAGCCTGTAAAAAATGATCATGTGAAGACAAATGATCATGCTTCAAGATATTGTTGGCCATCTCACAACGATTCCAAATGACCATGTTTGGTTCATTAACTTTCATAAATCTTGGTCTTGTGCTTGATTCCTTTTAGAGATATTGTTCTTTTAGAGATTCGTATGTGTTTTGTTATATATCTAGCAGCTAAGAAGTACTACAAGATACCAAATTTGAAATTATGATGTCTTGTTTTCTCAAGGCGTAAATATAGACACTAGTGACAACTGTTGTGCAGGACCCTTTGGACCACAACTTACTCTGGAAACTGCCACATGATGATATCTTAAGGTTCAACCAAAAAAAAAAAAAAACTAATTTAAGAGGTCAGTAATCAAATGAGCAAACCACAACGATTTATTCCAAATGTTTGAGGTCAGCTACATGAATCTTAATTTCCATTCCATTCTGTTATGGGTCATTTCCTCCGTTACGTTAGTCTTAATCATATCCTTTTTAATTGCTTCTAACTAAGTCATTCTAGGTTGATCTTTAGATCTCCTAGCCCCATTAACTTTAATATTATCACTTTTCCTAATCGGTACACTGAGGGGTCTCCGTTGTACATGACCAAACCATCTTTATCTATTCTCTCTCATTTTATCCTTAATAGGCGCCACCTCTAATTTACTACGGATGCATTCATTTCTTATCCTATCTTTTAATGTATACCCGCAAGACCATCGCAACATTCTCATTTCTGCTACACTTATTTTTTGAACATGTTTTTTAATTGCCCAATATTCTGACCCATAAAACATAGTTGATCTTATAATTGTCCTATAAAAATTTTTCCTTTAGTTTCATTGATATTCTACGATTACATAAGATTCCCGAAGCACTCCTCCATTTTAACCATTCCGATTTGATTCGATGCACAACATCATCCTCTATTTCACCATCATGCTTAATGATATATCCTAAATAGCGAAAATGATTATTTTAGGTATTTTTTGGATATCAATATGTATCATAAGCTCTCTTTCTTTCCTAGTTTTATTAAAATTGTATTCCATATATTCTGTTTTTGTTCTACTAATTCTAAAACCTTTAGACTCAAGAGTATGTCTTAATATTTCTTCTTTAAAAATAATGCCTCTTCTAGTTTCATTAACTAAAACTATATCATCAGCATATAACATACATCATGGGATTTCATCCTGAATATGCTTAGTAAGTTGGTCCATAACTAGTGCAAAAAGATAAGGATTTAAAGCTGATCCTTGATGTAAACCTATAGTAATAGAAAATAGTTTAGTCTTTCATTTATTAGTTCTTACTCTAGTTGTTACTCTATTATACATATCTTTAATCACATCAATATATATACTAGATACATGTTTTTTCTATCACCCACCACATTACCTCTCTAGGTACTCTATCATAAGCTTTTTCTAGATCGATAAAATCATATGTAGATTCTTTCTCTTCTTTCTATATCTCTCCATCAACCGCCTCAAAATATGTATAGGTTCCATAGTTGACCTCCCAAGCATAAAACTAAATTGATTTTCAGATATACATGTCTCTTTTCTTAGTCTTTGCTCAATTACCCTCTCCCAAAGTTTCATAGTATGGCTCATGAGTTTTATAATATCATGTGGTCCTACGGCTCGTCCACTTTTCATTTTTAGAGCATCTTTAACCTCGCTAATCCTAATTTTCGACAATATCTATAGTTTCTATCATTCACTATATGGTCAAAATCTCTATTTTGCTCACTTGTTTGGTTATCATTAAACAATTGATAAAAATAGCCCCTCCACCTCTCTTTTATTTCCCCGTCGGTCAGTAAAACTCTTTGATCCTCATTTTTAATACACCTAATATTACTCAAATCCTACTCTTTCTTTTTCATATCTTAGCAAGCTTATATATATCTTTCTCTCCCTCATTAGATTCTAACTTCTTAGAAATTTTTTTATAAGCTTTGTATTTATTTTTGTAGAAAAATGGATCAAATTATGTAAATAAATTAGGAAGATTATTTTATTTGAAAAGATTAGATTAGATTTAGTTGTAGTTTTTTTTCTAATTTATTATTTGTAATCTAGGTAGTTTCCTGTTTTATTAGAATTCCTAATTTAAAGGAATTCAGTTTCCTATTTTGGTGGATTTGTATGCTAGCCACTCGTTCTACTATATTATGGTGTAATTCTCTTGTTTAAAATAAGAAGAAAATTCACGATTTCTTCATGGTATCAGAGCTAGCTTTCTGAGCCCTAATTCTTTTTCATTCCTCTTCGTCTGGCCTTTCATTCATCTGGCCGATTCTCTCCCATGACCAAATACGACATGGCTTCACAATCTAATTCTTCGGAAGTTACTTATAGATCCGAGCCCAGTTCTCCTGTTCCCGCAATTACCGATTCTTCTCCACACCTTGTCACGAATCACAAACTCCATGGCTAGAATTTTCTGCAATGGTCCTAATCTATGTTCATGTTTGTCTGCGGCAGAGGGAAGGATGAACATCTCACTGGTGAAACGGCTGCAACAGAGGCTACGGATCCCACATATAGATCCTGGAAAACTAAATATCACCTAGTCATGTCGTGCCTAATAAATTCTATGACCACTGAAGTTGGAGAAAACTTTTTGCTCCATAGGACAGCTAAGGAGATATGGGAGGTAGCACATGAAACGTATTCTAACACAGAGAATACTTCTGAATTGTTTGAGGTTGAAACACGTCTGTACAACCTGAAACAAGGGGATATGAGTGTTACTCAATATTTTAACACCCTTACTCGCTGTTGGTTACAATTGGACTTATATAAGATCCATCCTTGGAAGTGTGCTAATGATTCTGCACTATATAGGCAGATTGTTGAGCAAAAGCGAATGATCAGATTTCTTCTTGGCCTTAACAAAGACCTAGATGAAGTCAGAGGGAGAGTTATGGGGATTAAACCCTTTCCCACTATCTGGAGGTATTTACCGAGGTCCGAAGGGAGGAGAGCAGAAAGAAATTGATGCTGCTAGATGCTAATATCACCCTTGCAGTTGAAGGTTCAGCCCTATACACTCATAGTTCATCACAGAACAATAGAGCTGACAAAGGACGTCCATGGTGTGATCATTGTAGGAAGCTTGGACATGTAAAGGCAACTTGCTGGAAGTTGCACGGCAAACCTGCAGATTGGAAGCCGTCTAGTGGTCTACATGATAGGGAAACCCGTGCAAACGTTGCTGCTACACCTGACAACAATGCAGAAGATAGTCCATTCACCAGAGAGCAAATTAAGGCACTGCAAAAAATGTTCAGTCAAGCTTCTATCTCTAACCAAGCATCTCCATTCACTGTCGAGCAACACATCAGTTTACTAGCTCACTAAGGTAATCAGTCCCTCGTTTTTAGTGTTCAAAACAATCAGTTAAAACCATGGATAGTTGACTCATGTGCCTCGGACCATATGACTGGAGATCTCAGTATTCTCACAGACTTTCGGCCTTGCACCAATCATTCAGGAGTCAGAATTGCAGATGGGTCACTTTCCCCAGTTGTAGGAACCGGATCAGTTCATTTAACAGAGGATTTTCATCTTTCATTTGTTCTTTATGTTCCAAAATTGAACTGCAATTTACTTTCCATCAGTCAACTCACTCGGGACCTCAATTGTGTTACTAAATTCCATTCCAATTTTTGTGATTTTTAGGTAGTGGATTCGGGGAAGGTGATTGGCAGTGCTGATATGCATGGTGGTCTATATCTGTTCAAACAAAAGAATCTCCCAAGTAGACAAGTCCATCGGTCAAGTTGTGTTTCAGAGTCCAGTCCAAAGTCTAAGTTTGCTTCCAATTCTGAGTCTGTTTTTAGTTCCAATCTATGTTACACGGGTACTTCATTATTGAAGCCGTACCCGTACCGGACACGTACCCGACACTTTCCCGTACCCAAACTTCATGGACACTTCTTGAA